GAGAGGATGAAAGGCTTAAAGGGGATCCTGTGGCTGACAGGAATAATGATTTTCCTTAAAACAAACCTTAAAACAATTGCTCCAAGCTGGTTTTGAAGGAAATGGGAGCCTCCAGCAGCAAGAGCTTAAATAGAAGCAAACTTTTGGGGACACCCAGATCAAGTGACAACAACCATGAGACAACTAAAACTGGCTGGAAAGCTGGGCCAAAAAATATCAGGCAGGTGGGACTTGTTCCCTGCAATAATCAGCAAGAAAAAGCCAGGGATTTGCTCCTGGAATGCCTTTAGGGAAGAGTGAGAGCTTTCCAAAGGTCACGGCCCTGGACTTTGTGTCACCCAGCAATAAAGAGCTGTAAAATCATATCTGCAGACAATATTTACTGGCATGCTGGTAAAAGCAGGAATAATCAGAATAAAGCAGGAATAATCAGAATAATCAGGCAGTGTCTGGGACAGCAGGAACTGCTTTGTGCAGGAAAGCACCCTCAGAGCAATGAATTCCTCCCTAATATCTAATCTAAACCTAATTTCTAATCTAAACCTAATTTCTAATCTAAACCTAATTTCTAATCTAAACCTAATTTTTAATCTAAACTTAATTTCTAATCTAAACTTAATTTTTAATCTAAACTTAATTTCTAATCTAAACCTAGTTTGTAATCTAAACTTAATTTTTAATCTAAACCTAATTTCTAATCGAAACCTGTCAGTTTGAAGCCAGGCTCCCACGGGAAAAGCCCCCCTAAAATCTCCCATTTTCAGGAGAGGAAGACCCTGCTCTCACAGTGCTTTTGGGGCTCCAGCACTGGAATGATCTTTTCCTCCTCCACATTTCAGAATCCCGGGATATTCTGAGCAGGAAGGGACCCACAAGGAGCATCAAATCCAACTTTAAAGGGAACAGCCCTTCTCCCAGGGGTTGAACCCACAACCTTGGCATTATTGGCACCATCCTCTGAGCTCATTTATCCCAGGGATGTGCACCCAAGACTCCCAGGTTGCAGGTGGGCAGTAAAAATAATCCTGTCCTAAGCCTGAGGCTGCTCCTAATCCCCCTCATCCTTGAAGTTGGGTCCCTCCTGGTGAGGCTGGAGATGCTGTTCAGCAGCCTTAAAAACTAATTAGCACTTGTTTGCTGTGATATAAGGGAGAAAATTCAAAGTGGTGCTGATATGGCTGCACTTAATTTATAATAATGGACATTTTAAACACCAAGAGCAGCACAACAGCTTTGTTCTGACTTGGAACAAGCCAGGGGAAGGCAGCAATGCCTCAAGTTACCTCAAAGACTGAGCTACAAAGAGCAATATTATAAATATTTTAGAGAAGCTTCAACAATCACTCTGGTTTTGAAGGCCCCCAGGGAGTTGGAGGGGTACAATAATAAAACTGGCACGTCACATCCCTTCTAAGTCACACCAAGTGGCCTCATCAGAGCTGATGTGGGAATTCCAGTGGGGATTTGGGCTGCAGCATCTCCCAAACAAGGGGCTCTCTGCCCTTCAGAGGATGGAGAGTAAAACCTGCTTTGGGTCTCAGAAGAGTTAAATGTTAAACCAGGTTTGAACCTAAACCCCACAGGTGCTGGGAGGCTGATCCAGGAGTCACATCTCTCCCTCTCCAGCTCTCCTGCCCGTGGGAGATCAGCCCCAGAATCCTTCCTCCCATCAGGAATCTCTGTCCCAGACTTGAGCACTTCTCCAGGAACTCCAGCTCCACCTCTGAGGTGTTCCCTGGGTGACCTGGCTCCCTGGGGGGAACTACTGCTCCTGTTGTTTTCCTCTCCCACTCTCCTCTCTCCTTTAGGGATAAATCCAGGATAAATCCCTGTTGCTCAGGCTCTTTCTCCAGCAGGACTCCAGCATTCCCAGGCAGGTCAAACAGGACTCAGACTCTGCCTCCTGCTCTGGTGTTCCAGAAGGACATGGAGCTGTTGGAGCCAGTCCAGAGGAGGCATCAGGATGATCAGGGGGATGGAGGAAAGGCTGGGAGAGCTGGGATTGTTCAGCCTGGAGAAGAGAAGCTTTTTGGGGGGACTTGATAGTGGCTTTCCAGGGCCTGAAAGAGTGACAGGAAAGATGGAGAGAGACTGTTTCCAAGGGCCTGGAGTGGCAGGACAAGGGGGGAATGGCTTCAAA